AGTCTTGCTTCAGACACTCGCCCAGAGAATTCCTGGCTGTGCAGAAGGTGGCGGTGGGAGCTTTGCCACTCGCGTGAAGCGAAGCCAAGATCTCGCCCAATGTGTGCGTTTGCAGCACACCGAGACTCACCCGTAGAAGGCTGTTCCCTGCTCCCGAGTTAACTTGGGAGTTGCTGTAACTCTGGACCATCCAGTATTTCCCTGTGCCAGCCCCCCAGGGACATATGTGTCCGTTAGCACGGCTGTGAGAACAGGCGGGCAGGTGTTACACCTGAAACCGTGTTTAGAGGGAACAGGTGCCCAAAGGCATGTTGGGATTTTCTTTGCCATGCATCTCAGGCGGAAAGACTACCCGGAGAAGAGCACGGGAAGCACCATGCTGCGCTTGTCAGCAGCGAATTACAAAAAGGCACATGAACTTAGCTTTTACCTTGCACGTGAACAGGTGTCTCACCGTTGAACTCGGTGAGAGCAGCAGTGGCAACCGTCAGTTCAGTTACACTGATTTTGCTTCTTGACACGATTTTATAAGCAGGCTTTTTGGCTGAAACACAAACTATGACCAGCAACTGAAGGCCAGTGCTGTGCGGTTATATCCCATGACCTTCCTATAACCTGAATATACGGACAAAATACGGGCCCTGCTCCCAAACATACACCAATGTCCCTAAACTCACTCTTCCTATGTAACTGACGATACATGGCTCTTATTAAAGATTAATATCTAAATGTTACTCTGGAGATTGGTAATGTGATGTGCCACCAGAGCAGGGCATCGTTAGGAGCATCTAGCTGAAATGACAGCAATTACTCATGTACTGAGCACGGTGTGTTCAGTCACCATGACCTTCATCACCTCAAAGTTCCCTGCATCAGTCACACAGACCTCGAATTACTCCTCATCCAAAGAAAGCCGAGAAGTTAAATGAATAGAGTAATAGGACTCTGGGCACAGGACAACCAGCTTTGTGTACAGGTGAGGAAGCTGCACAAAACCAGGGCAGCGTGGGCTGTGAAACACTGGGCTGTAAACAGAGGTGCAGTATGTTCTAAAATGAACAGGGAGAAAAAAAAGAAAAAACCCTAACGGGTTGTTTTGTGCGCTCGCTGCTGGAGTCATGGTTGTGTCTTTGTGCATGGTAAGTACTGTATAAACTCTATAAATCTCAGTGAGGTATTTTTTTAGTGCTTCCTGTGCAATATGACTTTTAAAAAAAGCTATAGAAAAAGGTCGCAATTCAGTACTTCCCTTAAAAATAGAGGGGGAAAACCAATCTTGTGACAATTCTGTTTGCAGCTGGTTTGTAACCCTTCAGCAGTGACGTGGAAGGTACCTGGAATATGCACACCGTGTGCAGGGACTGGCATCATCCCTTTGGGTAAATTTCACACAACTGATTTCATAGTTCCTTAACCATTTACTCAGCCCTTGAGTGTGATTTGGGTCAGGTAACTTTCACCCTTCACTTGGCACTGGTCTCTGGCAGCTGTAATGAGGCGTTAGGGCTGGTTGCAGCGGGTCAGTAGTACAAATCCTTCCACTAGCACTAGTCAGAGACAGCGGAATGAGCAACAGGGAAATTACCCCGTGCGTCAAGTAGCTTGTGTTACCCCACCCAGGAATGGGATCGGATTTGGGATGGGGTTGGGATGGGAGAGCATGAGGGACACGGCAGTTCTCCGTTTCTGGGAGGAGGCCCGTCCCTAGCTGGAGGGATGCAGCGCCAGCAGCTTCAGAGAGTCCGTGCAGACGGAACGCGTGACGCTGCACAGGGCAAAGGAGTGAACGGAGTTATCTCCCAGGGCACAGCTGCTTCCTGGCGTAGCACCAAACACAAGTGATTCTTCACGGTCTTGAAATCATCAGATTTTGGGGATAATATGTATGGAAATGGGATTACAGAAAGGCAAGTTTCGGTATACTTTCAGCAGAGCTGTAGGGACAAGCTAGCTTCAGAGTGAGGTAATATTCCTCACGGAGTTCCATCAAGCGCACAGCACGTGGCCCAGCGGTTCATTTGGCTGTGTGCCCATAGCTGCTGCTGTAGCAGTTTTTACAGTGGGCCGTGTCTGCAAGAAGAACCTAACTTAGCTTTTCCAGCCATCAACAGTCTTTAAATTCAGCCCAAACGCTAGGAAACTGACTGCTTGTTCTCACTGCCTTCATCTGAAGACCCCATGTTCTACAGCATGTGCTCCTATGTCTTTTGGCTTTCCCTAACGATCATCTCAGCACTGCACCTGTAAACTAGTTTGTTTCTGCCTCCAGAAACTGTTTATCCCTCAAAGAATAGCCATAAACCTGTGAGACCAAAGGCCCAGAGGGCCTCATGTGCTGTGTCCCAGCGACTGATGGCTGGTGGCTCCGGGAGCACACAGGTGGAGGATGCGCACGCTGGTCACAGTAGTTCTCCCCGCCCCAGCTAACCTTCTGAGATCTTTGTTCTCACGGCCCTTGAAACGCTGCTGCCTTCCAGGTGGGAAAATGCTGGCATAGTGGAAAAAGTCCAAGTGGAGTTTGTGTTGTAAACATGCCAAAATTATTTAATCTTGATTCCAATTCATGTTTTTATAAGAAAAGTGATTAATTTTTCAAAGCCTGATTTTTATTAATCTCTAGTTCTGAAGAGCTTGTGGCAGTCATTAGGTTTTCAGACTTGGTATAGTTCTGAACAGCAGCAGAGAGTTGTGATTTCTAGAAACGTCGTCATGTTAAAAAGTAAAACCTTAACACCTCTGTTCACATGAGGAGACCTGTGGAGCTGGCTGACACCAAGGGGGATTAGAGGTGCAGAGTCTAACTGAAACAACTTGAAGTTAAGTGTGACATATTGTTAATCCTCTTTCAGTTTCGTTGGTCAAAGCAGGCAGTTAGAATATGACATTTTGGCATTTTATAAATACACAGGATTAAGTCTCTACTGTTTTGTGTTGTCAAATGTGTACATGTTCCATCTTTGATACAAACATAGCTTCAAAAACATGGAGGAGGACTGATGAAGGATGCGTTGCATAAATGAATTTCATACTTTCTTCAAGAAAAAAAAAATTGTGTGGTCTTTATTTTGACTTGAAATTTTCAAACATCATCTCTGAGCAAGTAATCTGCACATTTTATGTATCTAAACTATGGCCAGATAGATCTAATCGTTTAGGGAAGTCCCCAGACATATACCAGAAATAAAAACTATTTTTAAAAATAGTACCAATGACAGTCCCTTCTCCCAACACCCGTGTTATTTTCCAGCACCTTTACCAAGTGCTTCTAACCTCTATTATAGTAGCTCTATGTAGTTTTAACTCAGCCTTATTTATCCTGTGCTTACAGCTGAAAATCAAACATTATTCAAATATGTTGATTTGTTTTCATGAGTTACAAGAACGTCTTTAAGATTAATGCTGTGTGTAGTCAGTGCAGTGATTCCTGTTCATGAAATCAGCACTTTCAGCCACGTGTGAGAGGAAAGCATGCTGGCACCGCCAAGGGCAGTAACAAGCGTTTTGAAGAACTATCTTAAACTGATGCCTAGGTTTGGGAAAATATAACTGTACTGATTAACTAAAAGTTACTATAAAAATAAATCAGTATCCAAGGAAAAAACACCCCACAATTAAGAATTATTTAAGAAAATTAAGTTATCCGGAAAACCTGTGTATGATTTCATGAGTAACTGATGGACAGCAACTGCTGAGAACAAGCGTGCTTACTAGCACATCCTGTCTTTCACTGAACCCAAACATTTTACCACTTGTTGGTCACAATTAAGCCTATTTGAATAGTTCTGCAAAAATAAACGGCCTCAGTATTACTTTATTGCACACTCACACATAACAGCTGCTGATGGCGTCGGATTTATCCGTTAGCAGTATCTGTACATGATAATTCTTTATTTCCTACGACTGCTACCACTGCCTGGTGGCATCCAGGAGCCTGGCTGGAAGGTACTCGCAGCGCTTGTTGGATCTTGCGAAGGCTCCTTCTTTCCATAGTATGGGGCTGACGCGTGGCCTTCAACACGAGTATGAGCTGGTTCAGCAACAAGTCCGTCCTTGTATTCCTTGGCCTGAAGCAGCTTATCCTTTTCGGAGACATCTTTGATTTTCTGTTTCATTTCTTCTCTGTAAGTTTCATTCTTAAGAATCTCCTAAGAACACAGTAGAAAAGTAATTAGATAATTAAGAAGTAAATGCAATACACAATATTGGAATAAAACATTTCAAACTTTTTTCCTTTTTTTAATTTTATAATCCACATTTTCAGCTATGTAGGAAAAATAAAATGTGGCAAAATTAACTGTTCTTCTGCAACTGCAGTTTCAGCCCTAGTTTAAAATGTTCTTCATGTTCTGATCATGCTGTTAAAACAAAACTCATTGCTGTGTCCCAGTTTCACTATCCTACTGGACCAAAAAAGAAAAGAAATAACAGGTCATCAACAAACGTGAAAATGCATTAAAAGTAAGGCTACCTTTTACGTTGTTTTCTATGCAGGGCTACATATATAGCTATTTATCATTTGCATTTCTTCCTGTAACTTGTTATACCCATGACTTTCGGTATTTCTGCCCCCGGCTGCAGTTTTGGGAGAAACAACCTGACTCTGCTAGTACATAAGCCAAAGCCATGCAAGATTAATTAATAAATAAAATAATAACTTAAAAAGGATGGAACTGAACCTACTGAGATGGTAGTAGTAATACAGGAGAAAAGACACTGGGGCAGAGGGAAGCCCTGCCCCAGAAACTTGGGAGACCGGTCAGTAGGGCCAAGGACCAGCACGGTCCCCAGAAGCAGGGAAAGCCAACACACCCTCAGCTGATGACAGCCTGGCCAGCAAAGGTGAACCGGATACTGTGAGGAGGACAGGAAGCACAACAGTGCTTAGCGTTAACTCCATCTACCAGGTGTGTTAGCTAAAATAAACACACTGCATTCATGAAGGGTGTAAAATCCAAGCCACTGCCCCTGCACAGGTAAAAAATACTAACAGAAGTGACCCAGTTTTAGCAGTTTACCTCCCCCTCCGACAAACTGAAGCAACTGTCTGATGCATCATCCTACTGCAAGGCCAACAAATCCACCCACCCCTACTCTGCATGTATGCAGAGAAGGCTTGTACAACTTCGGATTCAACTTCATGAAGCTCTGCACCGAAACATGGTTGGGTACAGGTTAAAGCTGGAAATTCACTAATAACGATGACCTGAACCGGGATTTGGCTGCTCCCACTGAGAAATGCTGAGACTATTAGTTGAAGCAAGTGCGATGACTGGCTTGTCCACAGGCGTAACAGAAAAGCAGCTGTTAGTAGATCTTGCCATATTGTTCAGAGGAAAACACAAAGAACTCCCAAAGTAAACACAAAGAAAAAAGCCCTGAAAAATACTGAAGTAAGGGGCTTTATCTGTGAGCATGTGTTTCCTATTAGAAGGATGATTTGCAAATTCTGCTAACAAGACTTCTCTGTGCTTTTGTTAGGGCAGATAGTGAAAAGTATTAGAAACAAAAGCAGAAAGGTGATCCAAATTTTTCTAACACTTTGAACCCAAATACAACTTAACCGTGATCAACACCATTTAACAAGGAAGCTGCTAATATCCACACTGCGACTGGGATACAGGAGGAAAAAGGCTGAACAGCTTTGTCTGGATTACAGATATATGGAAGACCTAAGGATAAACTAGAGCAGTACACTTGAGCAGAAGATGTTATTTCAGGAATGGCATTAAAATACATGTGATACTGCCAAAAATTGACATAGCAAGTATGGGAATATTTAAGAAGATTTAAAAAGTCAGTATTTAAAGAAAACCTTATCTTCGAAACTGCAATGAGTTGACCCTGGCTGGAGGCGAGGTGCACACCAAAGCTGCACTATCACTCCCCTCCTCAGCTGGGCAGGGGACCAAGAATATAACAAAAAGCTTGTGGGTTGAGCCACAGCTCCTACCTTTTTTTTTGCAGGGGTTGCCCATGGGGTCACAGCCTCCTTTGGACATCCCCCTGCTCCTATGTCGGGTCCTCCCCAGGCTGCAGGTGGGTCTCTGCACCTCCATCACCCTCCATGGCTGCAGGGGCACAGCTGCCCTCACCATGGTCTGCATCAAGGGCTGCCAGGGAATCTCTGCTCCGGTGCCTGGATCATCTCCCCCCCCTCCTTCTCCACTGACCTGGGGGTCTGCAGAGCTGTTTCTGTCACGTGCTCTCACTCTGGCCACACTCCTGTGTCTGCTGTTGCCATTCTGCAGCTGTTCCACCCTTTTTAACCATGTTAGCCCAGAGGTGCTACCACTGTCACTG